AGGAAGGCTTTTTTAAAATTAGGTAATTAAACCCAGAAGTCACAAAGAACACTTAAATTTCTTTTTGTTATTGTTTTTTTAAGTTATATATGACAATAGAATCCATTTTTATATCATTATATAAGCATAGAATATATCTTATTCTAATTAGGACTCCATTCTTGTGGATGTACACTGTGATGAGATTCACTGTGGTGTATTCATAGAAAACTTAAATTTCAAGGCAACTTAATTCTATACAACATAAGTTATTGTGGAAATTTTTATTTCCCGAAGATGTTCTCAATAATGTCTCCATCCCATGTTTTTCTTGTGAAATGTGATTTGACACTGTTTCCACGAGATGATTCTATGTTCTCCCACTAATTTTGGGCAGTGATTACAGCAGGCTCGTGACTTCTGAAGCTAGGACATAAAGGTGACATGGTGAGCTGGGGATGTAGCTCAGTGGCAGAGTACTTTCCTAGCATGTGCAAGGTCCTGGGTTCCATCCCCAGCCCCAAACCAAACAAAGATGACATAGCTTCTTCCAGGTGCTCTTGGTACACTGGTTTCTGGAACCCAGCCACCATGCTACAAGATAACCCAAAAAGATAACATAGAAAGTTTCCCTTAGATGTTCTGCACAACCTAGTCCCCACTGAAGTCACAGCTGACAGCCCACCAGACATGACAGTCAAGAAAAAGGCTTCAGTAGTTTCCAGTCCTACAATCCTCAATGGCTTTCTCAATCTCTCTAGCTAAAGCCTTAAAACCCATGGAATACTAAGAGCTGCTGTGCCCTTTCACAATTTCTGAAATTATGATCTAAAACAAAAATGACTGGTCGTTGGCATTGTTATAAAGCAACAGTAAATGGAATATCACCGTGGGGTTGGGAGTTAAAATTTAGAAACATGTTGAATAAAGCAACATGTCACTAACATTCACAAGAGAGTCACTAACATTCACAAGTAAACAACTTGGCCAAAAACTATAAGCAAGAAATATGTAGAAACCAAACCAAACCACCAAACCTTAGCCACTTATTATTAAGTTGATGCAAAATTTTAAAGATTAATACTAACATGTGAGAGTGTGTACAAATACTTTTGGAAGATGGCTGGGTATTTGCTATCGAGATGGAAAAATATATATTCTTTCACATATCAATTTCAGTTCTAGGAATTGACCTATACAAATACTAGCAAATGGGCACAAAGATTTCAGCATAAGAGTACTCAATGTAGCATTGATAATAATAGAAAAGGAAAAAAATCCATTTGATTCCCATCATGGTGGCATGATTAAATAAATTTTAATTAGTGACATGATAAAATCCATAGAAAGAAAAAATGGAGATGAGTGTATGTTGACATTGTCAAAACAGTTGGGTCCCCTTATGTAAACCAAGTAACCACATGTGTGCATGCGTGTGTGTGTGTGTGTGTGTGTGTGTGTGAGAGAGAGAGAGAGAGAGAGAGAGAGAGAGAGAGAGGAGAGTGGTGTGATGAACACCCGCTATTGCCTGAAGCTGCCTTTGGAGAGAAGAGTGGAGATGTCCCACCTAAGCGCTATGGAGAATTTGAAAAAGCAGGAAAAAGAGACAGTGACTGCTGTGGGAAGTCTATGTAAACCTTAAAACTTAATCAAACAACATTTCATGTTTCCATATATCAATGTGTGAATACATGCATAGAAATGATACATTCCAAATTTACAAGTGTCGGCCTCTGAGAAGAGAAAAGCAGATTCATTGGTTTGAAATCCAGGAGATGGGGATTGCTGGGGGACCCTCTCAAAGTATTATATTTGAAAAATAAACAGCAAAAATTAGAGCATTTCACAGTTGTGTATAAATGTATTGGCATTTTCCATATTGTGGATACTTTTTCCATGCTAAGAATATTTGAAATGCTTTCAAACATTCAAAAATCTAAGTCAGAAATCAAGTGATATCAAGCGAGTCTCTCAAGAAACCTTGATATTATTTCTAGATGGCATGAAAATACAAATCTATACAACAGAATGAGGGTATTTGGCCAAAAGCTACAGATTTTTGGGATAAATTTATAGGATAATTTTCATTGACTTGATGGCCATTACTTATTCATCAAGAATTACAACCCATAGTTTAAATGTGGAACTATAAATCCTTGCCATCATATTAGAACATCATCTTCAACCAGTTTTTGCCAATAAACTTACTGCTAAAGATACAATCATGTGCATGTCTACAGTAGCATCTGAATGTTTGGATTTGTGTATTTCAACCTCCCAATTTCCTGAATATTCTGGCTTTTTTACATGCAAAACACATTGCTATTCAGGTGTTTGATCTTTAAGCAGAGGCACTTTTTCATTTGATGAAGAGAGTTAATTTGAAAAATATTAGGCATTCAGAAGACATACAAAGAATGTGCTGTGACTGATACAAATATTTTCTTAAGTAACTTAGACTTTTTTCCCAAACTAACACACATCCTCTACCCTTCCTCAGTCCTGTTTGCTCAGCTGGATGTCCACAGGGTCCAATTTTCCCTCCAATTGCCCTTGCACGCTAATATAATTGCTGTTCATATGGGTAATTGGTCAGCCTGGAGCAGCATTTGTATGTACTTGTTCATCTACAGTGTCTGGCAGTTTCTCAAATGATTTTGCAGCCTTATAATACTACCATGCATTTTTAGTTTTGGTCTCTGTAACAAGGCTAAATCATGTGCTTCTGTAAGGATGCTGTCTTGAGTGCTCAAAAGCTGAAATACAGATATAAATTCTCTTTTTAAACTTCCAATGTTTCTTCTCCCAGGTCTAATGCAGAGCAAATGAAATTGAGTCTCAAATGCATACTGTTCTGTCCTTCCACCACTGATTTCCTTCCAAAACAGTCAAATGAACTGGATTCAGGCATTGGCTTAAAAAGGAGAATGACAAGCCAGTTCCATTTAAATCTTCAATGATGCAGGAAAACTATTAATTGTATTAAGTCTTGCTCTTGAGCACATTTTTATTATTTTGACAAAATGGGAAATATACATAAAGCGCTTGGAGTGAATGCTTAAGTATGATTGCTCATTCCTGAGACAAGCACTTCTATTGCTGTTGGAGTTGCAAGCTGAACTAGTAGCTTTTTTTTTTCATGAAACACCATTTTATATTTGAAAGAATGACTTTTTTTTTTTAATTTGGGTATTGTCAAGCACAAGTCAAGAATGAATAAAGGTAACCTGTTACTTCAAGGAAAACCAGTGGAGTATGTTGTTTCCAAGGCTAACATTTAAATTTTACAGTGAAAATCAGAATTCTGAAAAATATTATTTGTCATGATGAGCTTCACAGCTTTCTAATACTGTATTTACTTTCGCAACAGGATCAGTAGTGACAGCAAATTTTATTTTATATGAGGAAGAGAACTTTCTGAAGTGAAGATGTGACCAATGGATCTTAACATGAGAATGAAAAGTCCTTTGATGTTCTGATTCCACATTGCAACTAAGCTTAAGAAACCATTATTTGTCAAGATTTTTGTAGTATAAAAGAAGAATATTCAGTTACTTGAAAAGATTAATAAAACACTCCTTCCTTTTCCAACAAATGTATCTTCTAGAGACCAGATTCCTTAAGATATATCAACCCAAACAACACCACAATAAATGTAGGAGTATGAAAATCAACTTTCTTCTATGAAGGTGAACATGAACGAGCTTTGTAGAAACATAAAATTATGGATCTTTATGTAAAAATACATATTTAACTTGTAATGAGTTTATGTTTAAGTGAATTAATAAATAAGCATCTGAATTTTTTTAAATAGTAAATATTGATAAAGACAACTAACATTAAAAATACTTTCAGGTCTACAATAATTTTTGAGTATAAAGGAGTCCTTCGACAAAAAAGTTTGAGAACTATTGTTAATTTATCATTACTAAGAAAACACAATTATTGTAAATGATGCTCAGAATTAGAACAGGAAATTGCAAAAGGGACAAGATTCAAGTTTCATGATCCTTGAAATCTTGTCAGAAGCCAATGATTTGCTTTGATTTACCAAACAGCAAAATTTGTAATTTTATCTAAAAATCATTTGTGTTAATACAGAATGTTATCAAAATTATTTTTCTGTTAATAAAAATTTGCAAAAAATTTTAAAGTCCTTGTCTTCAATCTCAGAGCAGTTTCTACTTCCTTCTATGGAAGACTCTTGATTATCTACTTAGAAATAATGATATTTTTAACCAATTTGTGCTCATTAATATACACTTCTTCTTTGTGAGCTCTTGCATGTACAAGCGGTTAGTTGATGGCTTAGGAAATCTGTGTATAAAGCTATTAAACAGTTTCACAATGAACTGATGGTCTTTATATAATTCAATATACCTGAATCTAAAACATTGTCTAGATATAGGTTTTATTTTACATTTTATTGTATTTAAATCATTTCTCAAATAAAAAATATCTCCATAAAATAGCATCTGACACGATATTAAATAAATTGGGTGACTGACTCTAGCCTTCTGGGTCATCTCTAAAATAAATATACCTAATGAGGAATATGATTTTTTTTTATCAATTTCAACCCTGATGTATATATACCTAGTTATTCTTGAATATCTAATTAATTTTGTGATTATAATATCCTATGTCACTCATCTCATTACAATAACTGCATTATGAATTCTCATCCAAATTGCATAAAACAAAACAAAACAAAATCATAGATTATTACATTGGTAGTGCTGAAATCTAGAATTTGAATTGATTTTAATAAATAAGAGGAGGAGGACAGTCCTATGTTTTTAAAAAATATTTATTTAAAAATAATATTTCTAAAAATACAGTACATAATACATTTTGAGAGAAGTAAAAATTTCACAATTTAAATTAAAAATAATCAGCAAACAATATTACATGAATAAAACCAAATCACTAAAATAAATTAAGGACAACAACAATATGTTCTTAAGGTAGATACCTGGTTTGTTTTTCATTTTAAGAACCAGTGTAGACCTTTCAATTATACAATTATATCTCAGACACACACACCTGTAATTTTTAACCATTTTTCTCCCTCTTCTCTCTATATTTTTAATTCTATTATTTCCTTATTACCATCAGCACTAGAAATGTTAGTGAGGATTTTCTTTAAATTCTCTTAGGGGAATAGACAAGGCAAGATAGTAGATAATAAAAAAAAACAACATTCAGATTTACACATATTATGGACTGAACAATAAAAAAATGCCTGACAAATTTAAAAACTGGATCTTCATATGGTGCTTGGAACACACTATTATTAAAATATCAGACAGGTCTTTTATTTTAGGGATACAATGTCAGGTAGGATTTGGAGTTGACATAAAATTTTAGAAGCCCCCAAATAACACAGATTTTGTCTATTCATTACAGTTGCTAGTCAGGTTAAATAAACAAAGAAAAAAGACCAATTCCTGGGACATAAAACATGCTCACAGAGCACGATTGACACACATTCAGTCCTCCCAAGAGCCTATTCTTGTCACCCCATGTCACACCTTTCTCTGAGTGTTTCTGAGTGTAGTAGAAATCTTCCTATCATAATCTTTAAGTTCCTTTTCTCTACCTATGCTAAAGTAGAGTACTGTTTTATTTACTTTTTAATATTCTCTCTGAGAAAAATGGTGGCAAATTCTCCACTACCCATAACTTGAAAAACAAATGTAATCAGACACATTAATTTAAAGCATGCATAAATAAGCTGAATTACTCAGAACTAATACAGTGACAACAAATCTAGGAAATAATGCTTGGCAGACTAGCGAGATCCATAATGTTACTCCATCCCATTTTGCTTTTAAGTAAATTTTGCTTTCACCTTGAATATGCTCATCTTGATTCCTGGCTATCATTCAAATAATCTGAAGTCATGTTTCACATAAGTTTCAGACTTGATTCTTTTTTTCCATTCAGAATTCACTGCAAACCCACACATAAAATCTATATTCAAGGAAAGATTGATTTCAGCTGATCAAAAATAAAGCAAAACATTTTCAAATGTGATTGTCTACTTTTCAACACATATATACTATTATCTTCTTGCCAGAATGATTAACCATTTCAGCTAGTTTTAAAAATACTAAATGAGTGTTTTTAGAGCTTAAGGGGAAGAAATAGAGAACCCAAACGGTATATACATAGCAGTGTTACAACTGGACAATTACAAGTTCATTTAAAGAGTGTTTGTCTCCATTTTGTAAAATGAATCATTAAGCAAAATTAGTTTTAAAAATAACCTTACTCTGAAATTTCATGTAAAGTGAGTAACAATATCCAGACTTGTTCTTCCTTTTTTGGTAAAGTTTAATTATCTATTAACAGTTTTGCTTCAATCAAGGTATATTTACATTTCTTATTGGGAAAGTATGTGTATACATGTGTGTATACACACACACACACACACACTTTATTTATATGTATATTAAAAGTATTCTTTAATTTTACTTATCTTTATTCACAAAACAGACAAATAGCAATATCATTCTTTAAAGCCACTAAAGATTACAGACACAGAGATGCTAAATTCTTAATTTGTAATCAAAAAAGACCTGCTACTAATCCTTCATTGTAGCACTTTGCTTCAGTTATCACTATATGCTATATAACTCATTACAGAAATAAATCATAGTTGTTCTTCCTATTTTTTATTAATTGCTGCAGAAAAAAAAGCAAAAATAATTTTGCGAAAGTGCTTAAACTATCTTTTGTAACTTTAGCCTATTAAACTACCTTTTAAAATAGCTAAGCTATATTAAAATACAAAATTAATATCCATACCTAACCTGCTTAACTGGAAGAAAAAAAATCCATTGAGGAACATTTAAAATCATTAAATCAAGGCAGAAGTTGCAAAAAGTAAGACCTGGTAATAAAACTGTTCTTAGTACCATTCACTTCCACTTTATAAACACAAATGCACGAGAAAACTCTCAACCAAAAAGAAAATTAACTCTTTGGTACAGGAATTAAAAATGTCACTCAATGTTACATGAATAGCACCAGGATATTTTAGTTGTTGAAGTTGTAAAACACTAACTTCAGGCACCAGTAGGTTAAAGTATCACCCATACATACTGGCAAGAGGACAGAGCTTGCAATATGCAGACAAGCTTTCCCTTTAGTTAGCAGTTACAATCAAACCCTGTTTTAAGTCAAACAGGCAAGCAAGCAAAGCCACAAAAAAAACCCACATCTTTTGTTGCTGTTGTTTTGTCCACATCTTTGTTTATATATATATAATGCTATCAATACCAAAAAGCCCAGAGTGTTGAACAACTGTGCTAAGCACTACATTACATGGTATAAGGAATTTAAAATACCAACAGAAATGGAGACCTTCAGGATCAAGAAAGAAATCCAAATATCCCAAATGTTAAGGTGAAATCCACCCTTTATATTCAAATTGTTGGTTTTTTCCTCTGTGACAAAATTTTCTAGAATACTATCCTTTCTTTGCCACAAGACACATGTCAAAATAGTCCCAATTTTTTTTTCACACTCAGAGCAATCTATTCATTTCCCCTCTGCATTAAATAGCTGCATTTTCATATTATTTTTAATACTGCAGGTTAGCATACACTACCAAATTACTTAAAGTTAATTTCTCCAAGGTGTCTGACCAGCTGAAAAGAAAGAGAAATATAAACTCTTTAAATAACTTGAACTAAAAGCTTAAATGCATTAACAACTCTTACAGAAAATTGTATCAACAAGTGATAGGCTAAAATAAAATGACTATAGCAAGGTTCTATGAGGTCACAGAAACTGTCACAGTCAACTCTGTGCTGAGATGCTGATTACTCATGCTTCGTCTCCCCATCTTATTAAGTTCCCCACTCTCTCTCCAATTTTTTGGCTACTCACTACTCATTGATTCCTGTCATCTAGTGTATCAAGGGGAAAGGACATAATAATAGTAAAACTTATGATAATGGAAAATATCAGTAATACCAGTGATTTAAAAATCCTAAATATTGTAACTTCTGTTTCAAATTAGCACTAGAAGGCAGTATTTGCAACTTCTGAAAAACAGATAAAAACACAGTGAATTCTGTTGTTAAAAAATTGCAAAATGATAATGCAAGAAGTCAGAGAAAAGTCACTCTTAGAGATAAACCTTCACCATTCCAAAGATAGCAGAAATGCTAAATATTCATTGACAATATAACATTGGTTCAAAATACTTCAAGCAAGTAGGTTCTAATACTTTCTCATACTCTACTGTAGAAGATTCTAGAATTCAACTGAGAATGGCTAAAAATAGAGTATACTAAAATCTTTCATTTATAGACAAATTCAGATATTGATTCTTAGAACAGAAAGCAGCAAATATGGGCATTAAATAACACATTCATTAGTTAATTATATGGTTAATAATACTAGCAAGTAGTACAGACTAAATGTACTTGACTTATTAGAGACATAGTAGAGCTTGGATGAAATCTAATACTTGTACCTATGTAAATTACTTAATGTTTTTAAGTATAAGCTTCAAATAAATTCTAGATATATCTATGTATACTAGAGATCACATCAAAAACTTGCTTAAAGAAGTTACTACAGTTTAGTAAACTTGAGCTAAGTAATCTATTAATACATGAAGCACAAGACAAGTACTCATATACTTGAGAAAGTCCAGAGAGAAACTAGCAACTATGTTAATGAATATTAATGCCATATTAAACCTCAGCTAGACACATTATAATTTAATAGTAATATTGTGAGAATACTAGAATTGCCCCATGATTTAACAATAGAAAATCGTGTGGTCATAATCTAATTAGTTCACACTTCCTAGTTGGAAGTATTGTCCTAACTTAAGTCTTTGTAATTAGCATTCAGAATTTAAAAACCCTTTTGAGCAAAACGTATCTCTAACTAGTTAATTTGTGTGGAAGTGACTTGAAAATCTGAGAATAGTTAGAATTAGGCACCATACTTAGTGAAAATTCCTGTATGCATTAGTAAAAATGCACTGATGTTAATTCTGACAGAAATTATATTCAGTTGTCATACTGAATTTTTTGCATGCTGATATTATCTACTCCATTTTTCTTTTATTTTTTGGTGCTGGGGATTGGACCCAGGCCTAGCATGTGTCCTACCACTACACTACACCTTCAAGCCTCTACTTCACTATTATAAAAGGAAACTATCTTCTGAAAGAAAGGTTAATATATTAACTATAATTTTAAATAGCTGTCTCTTATGTTAATCACAATTTTTAAAATATGACTTAAGTAAAATAATATTTTCATTACAATGACATATAGGCTAACTTAATATTTTTAAACTTTAAGTTTAGGTTACAAAGTACGATAACTCTTTAGCCAAATGCTTACTTTTAAGGATTCTGAACTCCGTTCATTTCTGCCTATAATTTTGAGCCTCTATTGAACCCATAAACATTTCTGTTTGCAGACAACAACAAATATGATTGTTCATGAGTTACAACTGTATCCTAGAAGAACCTTTCCTCTCCAAAAGCCAAGTTAATGACTCTGCCAATGTAAAAAATTATTTAATTTATATTTGGCTAAAATTTAATGGAAAATTCATAAAGAAAAGCTTTAGTCCAACCTGTAGATTACATTAGTAATCTTACTACTCATAATTATTTTCTAATGCTCAACACCTTTAGTTATCTTTGTGATTATCCAGAACACATAATAAACTGCCTACTACAACTAGAGGTATAATTCTGACCAAAGAAGTTAAAAAAGAACAAAGAAAAAAAGTATAGCAAGAATTACTAAACTCTTTTTAGTTGTTTTCAGTCAAGAGTGCCAGTTTAAAAAAAAAAATCATTCTAAAATTTGAGAATGAGAAAACTAAATGTATTTTTTAGATATTCAGTAAGACATTCTAGATACTTAGATGCCTTTATAACTATAAAAATTTGTGTTTTATAATAAACTAACTTTTAAGGTAATGGCTTTTCTAAGTGTCAAGAATTAATTTGCCAAAATACAATTTAAAATAAAATACATGAAATGGCTTAGTTTGTCTTGATCTAAATTTGTGATTTACAGTAAGAATTATACTAAGAATATACTTAATGAAGCAAAGTAATCATCACATTCTTTTGAGCTAGAAATAACATTGTCAACAGTGACACATTCATTTTCATAAAACTTTATATTTTTGTACATGAACGCCTTCTTAGTGTGTACCTCTGACATGTTCAGAATTTACTTATGGGACAGTAAACCTCTAGAGCCAGTATAATTACATCAATTAGCCAAAAGAGGGCGCAGAAAGAACACCAGAGTTTAAACAATCCCTAGGAAACTGCCAACTGGCTACTATCAATCAGGTAGTCTAACAGCAACTACAAATCTCACAGTAGGGTTAGGTGTGCTAACTTGAGAATACTATAAGTTACATCATAAGCCTATATAGATATACTTTAATATATATTTTTATATAAATGTTGATATGTAGCACTTCTGACACTCAAACAAAATAATTATATGCTTATCTAGTGTATTAGTTTGTAGTCCACTAACTTAAGAGGAAATGGGTACAGATGGAGCAGGACCAAGGAGGGTAAAGAGAAAGAAAGGAAGAGAATATGTCCTAAAAATGATAAATCTAAGAAAATAAAAAATATATGCCCTTAGAATGGGAAATAGACTTCTCTCATTACCTTTCAGTGCAGCTACTGTTAACTATGTGAAATATGTCCATAAAGCTCTGTACAGGGTCTTCACTTGGTTCTGCTGTTTTCTCAAAGTCTTTTTGTAAAAGGAATATATACAATATAAAGTATTCAACTGATATTTACCTACATAATAGCTACAATACTTCCTTTTAATAGTTCTGCCACAATGTCAAATTTGGTCAGTTAGCTTGCTCAAAATTCAACCCAACTGCCTAACACACATACTAATTTTTATAAACATATTTCTTATATTACATTTACTATGCTTCTGATTAGCACCAATAAATACCTTCATCTGCCACTTCTAAGTTTTAAAATATTAACACATTATAATTAAAACATAAAAACATGTTATTATTTTTGAGGAGAGTTGATTCTATTATTTTAGGATATTTTATAAGATATTTACAATTTCTGAATGAACTAGCCATAGTATAGCTAATTGGCTGACAATGGTCACCTTCTGTTTCATTAGTTCCCAGGTGTGATTTTTTTCTTTCCAAAGTAACCAAAGAAAAATATTAATATGGTCCAAGAATAGTAGACAATTTCAATATTCTCTTCAAGTAAATGTAAGTACATAAATTTTTTTAAAAAGCATGGATTTTGCAGTATTCCAATGGAAAAAAAATTAAAATCTGAATTTACTTCAAAGCACACTAAATGTCTTTTTACCCAAATGTTCTGTGCTTTCCAATCACTATTAGCAACTTAAATTTGTATAATGCTAATGATAAATATAGATTATTCTATTTTATTATTTTAAGGTCATTTCCTAACAGCTACTGATAAAAGGTGTTTAGAAATACAAATTGTAGCTGGCCAATGAAACTTTAATTTCAATTTAGGTGATTATAGGTACATGAAAGTTAATAACTTACTTTTACTAGTACCTTCTTATAAATAAAATTTCAATGAGTTGGCCACTATCTATTACATAAATGTCCAATGAATAATTTTAGATTCACTAGTAGATAAATAAAGTAAAAAGGATATATATTTTTAAAAGCACAATATTCTTCTTTACACTGTACATTATATAGTATCTAGTTATACTGGCATTTTAAAAACATATGCATTCTAATATAATTGCACTAGAAAAGTAACTGGAATTATTGCAAATTTTCTACCCTTTCTTCATTAAAATTTTAGGGTAAACAGGAATGTATGCCCACTGGTCACAAATTTCTCTTGGAAGCAAATATCCTAAAAACAATCAATAATTACAACAGTAAAGGGAAAAAATACAGAAAATTTAATGTGGAAAAAAATCAACCTTTTCTTTATTATAAGGTAAGTAGCTGGTGTTTTACTTTTGTGGTGTTTTATTTTGGTTTTGGGGAGGAGAAAAAGAGAAAACATTAGGAAGCAACTCCTAAGAAAACACTGCCCTTTGTTGTTATTCACTTCTACACTGCATTAAAAAAAAAAAAAAAACTTGCAGCACATATAAAAAGAAGTATTAAGTATTTTAACTTGTATTTGAAAAAGGAAATTTACATATAAGAAGGTATATATCAAGTTTTGTAAAATCTGAATAATTAAATTCAGATTTCATTAGTACTGCTTAAAGGTGAAAATTTAAATAAACATCTGAAATTTCCCATAAATTAAAATCTGTAACACAGTAAGTACTAAAAGGAACTTATGTACAATTATTTCATCCTAATCGCTGCCTTTTGAGTTTAATAACAAAAGCATTTATAGAAATCTCTGTGGAAAGCTAATTTGAAAGTAAACATGCTTTAAAACTTAAATATAGATCTTGTATTAGTCCCACAACAGGATCAAGATCACTATTAAAATAAAGCCTGGGGCACATTATGATGCCTAAGATTGGTGGGTGGATTTTAATTGACTTGAAGACTGTCATAGTTCTATTATCATAAAACCTGTAACGCATTTCCAGCATGGAGGACCCATCTGTGCCCACCATCCATCTGTTTAGACGTGATTGGCAAAGTGGTAGGGAACGCGCAGTGGTTGCCTCTGCCTGAAAGGAATGAACCACAGGATCTTCCAACGAGTGCCAAAAACTTCTGAGAAGGTCTGCTGCCATGGCTTTCGGGGCCTCGATCTACAGAAGACAGCATTATTAGTGAAAGACAGCACTCCCATGGTGCACTTCAGTCAGCTAAAACAATACAGGTTGGCTGGGGATCCATTACTGGACTCTGATGAATTGTGTCCCAGCATCACAAATACAGCTTTTCTTTCATTGTGGCATGCAGCTGAGTTTTAACTCTGGATAGCAGATATTGTATCTGCATCGTCAATCAACCTAGAGCAACTTTTGAAGCAGAGGAGAATCTCAGGATTAATAGAATAAGTGTCAACAACACAGTGGCAAATCTCTTTTGATGTACTTTCGGGACAAATAATTTAACTTACTTTAGTTAGACAAGGAACAAAAATGATCACTACTTATTTTGTTTAAAAACTATCCTGGCTGGAAGACCCCTTACTATAAGACTGGAGTATGTCTGTCTATCTAGCTCCAGCCTCAGACAAGGCTCCAAGAAAAAGTCATTATTATATTACCTTTCCATTACATATACATGGTTTTCAAGTGTGGCCAGCTGTTTCAATTTTTAAATAACAGCACTACACAGTTCACTTTTATACTTACATCTCTTCACAACAGTTTGACATCTTTTCAATAGATGTTGTATCCTATTAAAAATAAAAAAAAATACTCAGATGTAACAAATTTATTTTATTCTTATCTATTTTATGATTTAAATCCTATTCATAGAATATTCTAAAGATTTAAAATTTTAAATATATGCACTGAGAATTTTAAATGATGTATATACACTGTTGCAGTTCCCTTGGAAAAACAGAATCAATATTACATTATGCCCCCAAATTATTCAAATACAAAACCTCACAAAAATTGTGGGAGTATGACTTCATTAAAATATAAGAGTTGCTTTCTTGATCATTCTTTTAAGTCTGGTACTTATTTTCAGTTCAGTAAACATGCATTTTTAAATGGCATTATTAAAGACACTAATGAACAAAAAACTAGTAAGAGTCAAAGTACAACTAGTTCTAGATTTCTGTAAATAACAAAATTCAACAAGGCAGTTTATGAATTTGCCATATCACAACATATATTGCTCTGAAAATTAAAGTTAGCTCATTAATATTATTTGGTCAAAACAATTTCATTCTTCATAGTAATACAATTTCTTATTATGTGTTTTCTAAAAGACTCTAATAAAATATAAAAGAAAAATAACAAACAGAAAGAAGACAGCTTCTAGAAATGCTGGTTTAAACTGCTAAAAGAAGTCCTGTCATTAGATTGGCAAATTACTATAAATCATACCAAAATAATCAACACACAAATGAACAATCCTATTTTCAGTTAAAAGTTTATATTTCAAACATACTTTAAAGCAGTACAGAATATATTCTTTCAAGTATACAAAAACATTGGCTAAGTCTTATTCTCTCCCCCTTTGCTTTACCTGAATTCCTAGTTCATATAGGGCGGAAGGCAGACTGCACCATTATTAAGTAGAATGATACATACAAATACTTATGGATGCAACTCAAATTTATCTGGTTGTAGAGCTTTTTTTTTTTTCCCCAATGATGCTAACAAATAGCATCTTTATTTTTTTAAAAAACCTCTTTTTAGAGAAGTTATGTAAAAGAACTAGAAAGGTTAATTTTAAATAGAATTGTTTTTAGATATCATGAATTTCAAAGCATGATAAAAAACTAATATGGAATATGTAGCAAATCTATCATTTCTTTACAAATCCCTAGAAAATCTGTAAATGAAGCTCTGTTATTGGCTACTAATCATCTAAAAAGCAGATGTATTTAACCTTATATATGCTTAACTGTGGTTATTCAACTGTTCATGCATGAGAAGTTAATACTATGACTATGTTGCATAACTTCTTCAAAACAATGTGGTCTTTATCTGTTTTGAAAAGATAATCTACAAATACACAAGATATTAATTGGAGATTTTGACAAAACTTGGGCTTAAGGTTTCACATTTGTAAAAGAAGTGAATGAAGTCATTTTGATGGTTTCTTAAAGTCCAAAGCAATTAAGACAGCTCATGCAAAAGTATAAAACAAAAGAACAGAAATCAAGAAGCTCTCAGGCAAGGTGTTTGGATGGCCTAAAATCCACAGGCATGGATAACACCTAAAACCTGGACACATTTCAGGATAATTTCAGGATAATTGTAAAGTCTATCACTTCCAAAATTATCATCAGCTAATATTAAAGAAATTTTTTGCTATGTAGAAATTTACAACTTGATTATAACCTTAAGGAATGCATTTGTGGCATTGAAAGAATCAATTTTGGATTTCATGTAGAAAAAGCTTTAATTTTTATGTGTTTTTAATAACTTTCCAGAATCTATTTTAGGAAATAACTAGAATTCTACTTTTTATTTATTTTTAATTTTTTTTATTACACATGGACACAGTATCTTTATTTTTGTTTGTTTGTTTATTTATTTATTTTTAAACATTTATTTTTTCATTGTAGGTGGACACAAAATCTTTATTTTATTTTTATGTGGTGCTGAGGATCCAACCCAGTGCCTCATGCATGCTAGGCAAGTGCTCTTCAGCTGAGCCACAACCCCAGGAGAATTCTACTTTTTAAATTATCAGGAGTAGGTTATTCTTTCAAAGTATGTGACATGTACTACCACTTTATGAACAGAATTCATGAGGCTGGCCAAAATAGGTTATTTTGTTTCACCTCTAGAAATGGCCAATGTTCATCTCTCTAAAAGTCAGCTATTCAAAAAACTGTTAAAAGAAAAAAGTACGATTTGCATTTGGGCATCCAAACATGTCATCAAGTTTTTGTTCTGACATTTACACAATATACTATAGCAACACAAGTTATGTTAACACATTCACAAGCAATGCAGAAACAGCAAATAAGAAGAGGGGAGATCTTACTACTGCCAGAAAGAGCAAAAACCACTTGAGTTATTCTCAAGTGCTAAATTAGAAAAATAAATTAGGTTTTATTTACCTTTTGTTTTGTTTACATAGAAAAGTGGAATTTTTTAAATACTAAAAGTAATTGAAATATTTCGATGCAAATAACTCGATTAAATACAACAACCAACACAAAGTGTCCATCAGTAAAGGACCAATAAGACATCAAATCTCAGAGTACAAATGCAGTTTATAAACTCAGGTATTCCCGCCCCTGCCAATTCATTCTTTCAGAAATGATAAAAAACAAGTATTTACTGTAAATTACTATAATAAGGTTCTCTTCCTTCCTGAGAAGTATATATGTCTAATATGGCCTAATGATCAAAATACCTCAAACTTTCATCAGTCTGCATAACATGAGAATTCTTTGCACTGGAAGTTTTGGCTTCACAAAAATATAGGTCTTACTCATTTTATTAATCAATACTTTATCTTTTCATGATGACTAATCTTAGCCTAAGGAATGATCTTTCAGGTTTAGTCCAAAAACTAAGGTGGACTATAAAAGAAAATTGAATCCCAACTAATAAGACTATACCTGAAATGGGGGGGGGCGGGGTTCTAGCAGAAGGAGAGAGATGAATCTATTGGTTGGATGTTAGAAAAATGAAGGATAGGGTGGGGAAAGTTGAAGAGCAAGAATTTATCATCAGAGGTTTCCTTGTTAATAAGCCTGATACTGGTAAAGATAAATTGATGTTGTCCATCCAACCAACTCATCCTGCTTTGAGTTCATTCTCACCAAGCAACACTTTGCCACATATGGTGTTGCATAGAAGAAGGAATATACTGGAGAGTCCTTTAGCACCCCTAACAATGGTACATAAAGAAATAAACTATCTCTTTTAGAGTCACAGCCTCTGGGCCCGATAAACTTTGGAAACAGTTTCAAAATGGAGTTTGTAGGCCTGACAAACTGGAAGGCCTGTGAAAGTAAAAACATTGCATCAGTAGAAAAATCCTCAAAGACAGTTCCATCTAACCTCAGTCAGTGATCATCTACACTCTATTCTTGCTATATTGGTCTTATTGATGTGTCTAACTCTGCTGCTCATAGTTATCTAATTCAATGACTACATATTGAATTAATCTAGAGTTTAAAACACTATTCAGCAAAACTTTTTCACAACTAGAAACAAAATACCTGTTTTATCTATTACTAGTTACTCCCAACTGTAAGAAAGTTTTTCACTTGACTTCTTAGCACCTCTGGTCAGTGTACAAATAGCAGCTCATTTCATTTTGAGTTTAAATTTTTATAAAGCATCTAGAATGGGTAACAATATAATTTGCAGCACTAAATTCATTTCACCTGACCCAAAATAGCATTCCTTATTTTTAATTAAAGATAGAAAATGTTCTGTTAATCTTAAATCACTCTCCTCCTTGAAAGCCAGAACTATTTCCTCATTTGAAACGAATGGTTCTTTAAGCATTCAGCTCCAACAGAAGATTAGCTATGTCTTTTATTTGGGATATAAAGTTCACATAATTGTTTAAACAATCACAAAACCAAAGTGAGAAGGCAACAGATTTTACGTCTTCAGCAACGGAAAATCTCTTTCCAAAATAATTGCCATACTCCTCTTTCTCAGGCCATGTTCTGGCCTTAAGAAAATTCCTTAAAAACTCTCCCTCAATTTCCAAATAATAATTCTTACCTGCTAGGTTTTTATGGTGATTAAATTGGCTAATATGTGAAAAGCACTTAGTAACTCCTCAATAAACAAAAGTCCTAGTTTTTATTGCGAATGCCTACTAAACACTTTGAGCGTGCCTGAAGACAGTGTCTCAATTACATCAGAATATAACGCTTCAAAATTATGTCTAAACTAAACAAAAAAGTTCGTACAATGAAAGATAAAGTGACAGAGACTTAATTTTTATATGTTGGGAACTATTTATATAAAATCCTGTGACCACAAGGAGTTTATAATCCATCTGAAAAAACAAGTCCCAAGTATAAAAACCATAATTCATTTACTCACTGTACATCTATCAAACATTTACTAAGTATGTATTTATGACACATCCTCAGCATGAAGGAACTTACAAGTAGTCAAGTTTACAAGAAAAAAATTACATAGGAAGCCAGAAGAGATGATTATTATATACAATAATCTGTTGTATAAATAAATCTGACACTAACTAGAATATCTGAAACAGCTGGAAAATTATGCTCATAATCAATACTCAAATAATTCAACTACTCTTACATTTTTAACACCAAAATTATTCTTTTGATAAGGTTTTTGGTTATTAACAGAAAATGGGTATTTAAAAAAATTTTTTTAGTTGTTGATATTTTATTTATTTATATGCAGTGCTGAGAATCGAACCTAGTGCCTCACACATGCCAGGCAAGTGCACTACTGCTGAGCCCCAATCCCAACCCCCAGAAGATGGATATTTAATGTGTCCCTTTTGCTGGGGTTTGGGAAAGAACTAATATAGCAATAGAATATGACACAAAGAAGCATATGAATCACTGTGGCAAAAGATCACAAGTAAACTATAAGACACACCACTGTTTCCAATTACATGATGTTTTAAAATCAGGCTAAATATTCAGTAGATTTAGATCATAAAATGAATATTTGGGGAAAATTCCAATTAAAAACAAAATTTGTAAATGTTTAGTTTCCTTATCAAAAAATGCAACTATTTAATCACTCAGCA